TTCAGATTTGAATTAACCATTTCTCTAAGGTATCCCATACCCTTACTTTTAACCAGTATGCAATATGGAATGGTTAGAGAGTACATAGGTTTTGAGTCCTGTGATCTCATGATGATCTTTTTCCCCCATACCTTTTGTTCTTTTCTTATGTGTCTTAGGATAATAACACATAATAAAATGCTTTAAAGAAGTAACATATTGGCCGGGCGTGGTGGCTCACGCCTGTAATCCCAGCACTTTGGGAGGCCAGGGTGGGCGGATCACGAGGTCAAGAGATTGAGACCATCCTGGCCAACATGGTGAAACCCCATCTCTACTAAAAACACACAAAAAATTAGCCGGGTGTGGTGGCACACGCCTGTGGTCCTAGCTAGTCGGGAGGCTGAAGCGGAAGAATCGCTTGAGCCCAGGAGGCGGGGTTGCGTGAGCTGAGATTGTACCACTGCACTCCAGCCTGGTGACAGAGCAAGATTCTGTCTCAAAAAAAAAAAAAAAAAAAAGTAACATATTAATTTATATTTTAATTGCACAGTTTTGAATGACTTAATTTATTAATCCTGTTACCTCAGATGTCTCCAACCCTTGGGTCATGGACTGGTCTGTTAGAAACTGGGCCACACAACAGGAGGTGAGCAGTGGCCAAGCGAGCATTCCTGCCTGAGCTCTGCCTCTGGCCAGATCAGCAGGGGCATTAGATTCTCATAGGAGCATGACCTCTATTGTGAGATGCTTGATGATCTGAGATGGAGCAGTTTCATCCCAAAACAGCCCCCCACACTTCTGGTCTGTGGAAAAATTGTCTTCCACAAAGCTAGTCCCTGGTGCTGAAAAGGTTGGGGACTGCTGCATTATAGCTTTATTTATTTATTTATTTATTTGGTTTAGTAAGTCAAAAGTGGATTTAGAACCTAAAACACTAATTCTTTAGTATAGTTAATTTAAACCATGAAGATTATCACAAAGTCAGATCTAGGTTAGTTTTTGAATATGCTCTACAGTTAAGCTTGCCGTACTCTGGTTATTGCTTTCCACTGATCTTCTGTATTAGTCCATTTTCATGCTGTTGATAAAGCCCTACCCAAGACTGGGCAATTTACAAAATAAAGAAGTTTAATGGACTCACATTTCCACGTGACTGGGGAGGTCTTCCAGTCATGACCAAAGGTGAAAGGCGTGTTTCACATGGTAGCTTACGAGAGAAGAGAACTTGTTCAGGGAAACTCCCCTTTATAAAACCATCAGATCACGTGAGACTTGTTCACTGTCACAAGAACAGCATGGGAAAGACATGCCTCATGATTTAATTACCTCACACCAGCTTCCTCCCACGACATGTGGGAATTGTGGGAGCTGCAATTCAAGATGAGATTTGGGTAGGGGCTCAGCCAAACCATGTCACCTTCTCTTTCCATTCTCTTCTTAAACTTTGTATGCGTGAGCCAAAGAATAATTATTAAGTAGGCAGGCATAATCATGCTTATTACAGTCTATACTCCTCCCATACATATTCATACATGCAGAGAAATACCTTTTACTGTAAGAAAGTTCAGCCTGCAGATTGTATAACAAAGTCAGAATTCTGATTCCTGTGATAGTTTCTCCATGGTTGGTGGGAACCAAATCCTTTGTGAAGCCATTAGTGATGGAAATAAATATATAATAGAAACTAAAGGCCTGACCTCTTTGCATAATGTCTTCCTTTTTTTTCTTTTCTTTTTTAGTCTTGCTCTGCTGCCCAGGCTGGAATGCAGTGGCAGTGATCTCAGCTCACTGCAACCTTTGCCCCCTAGGCTCAAGTGATTCTCTTGCTTAAGCCTCCTGAGTAGCTGGGATTATAGGCGTGCGCTACCATACCCAGCTAATTTTCGTATTTTTAATAGAGACAGGGTTTCATCCTGTTGGCCAGGCCGGTCTTGAGCTCCTGACTTCAAGTGATCTCCCAACTTGGCCTCCCAAAGTGCTGGGATTACAGGCATGAGCCACTGTGCCTGGCCCATAATGTCTTTCTAGGAGACTACCTTTTACCTACTAGTCCAACTGTAGCATGTCAATTTTCTTTTACCACTTGCTTAGAACTCCTCTCTCTGAGACAAAGTATGTGTGGGAATGATACAGGAAAAACCAACAGAGCAGAGATTGTACTGTAGCCACCATGCTTTAGACATAGGTTGTACCCCTGAGCCTTCTGCCTGTGCTTGGGCCGCTCTGACAGTACCCAAGGTTGTATTAGTTCTTTGAGGATAGTCAGGGGCAGACGTTTCTAAATATTTCTGAATGTGCCAGGCACATTTGAAGAAATTGAATGAATTTGTTGATTTGAGTGATACCAAATTCTTTTTCTTCCATAACTTGCCAGTATATTTTCTCATTTTTGAATGATCTTCTTTGGGTCAGTTATGAAAACAAGACTTATGTGGTAAAGCAGAAGAGCAGACAGGAGGGCTCATTTTTAATTGTACAGGCTGAGTATTCCTTACCCAAAATAAGAAATTCTTATCCAAAATAATGTCCTTTTTGGGACCAGAAGTGTTTTTGGGTTTTGGATGTTTTCCAGGTTTTGGAATATTTACATTATACCAGTTGAGCATCTTAAATCCTAAGATCTGAAATCTGAAATGCTCCACTGAGCCTGTCTTTTGAGTATCATGCTGATGCTCAAAAAGTTCCAGATTTTAGACCATTTGGATTTTCAGATTAGGGATGTTGAACCTGTGTGTCAGTGCCCTAGCTATAGCTTCACTCACATGAGCTCTTGCAGGAAGGGGCCTGAGGGAATCTTTTTGGAGATTACTGGCCTAGCCAGTAGAAATTTTTTGCAGTTTTAAAAAGAGGGAGACGTGTCTGTTCTAACTTCTCATGGACAGATGAATGGACAGATCAATGTATGAAGCTGGCAAGAGTCAAAACACAGCAAAAAAAAAAATTTTTTTTTTCATTAAATGTACTTAGGGATTGGGAACCAAGTTTTTAAAAAAATTCCTTAAACTTTTGCTCAAAAGTTTGAGCGCAATTTTGCTCAAAAGAATAAAGCATTGTTTACAAGTTTTTCTGTTAACTATGTTTTTATGGAGTCAGTTTTCACAAATCGAGGATATATTCTGATGTTTATTCTGATCGTTAATATCTTTGTAATATTTTACTTTGATTTTCTGAGTGGATATTATAATATTAATTGTCTAGGGATGGTTATGTTAATTGAACCTACTGCATTAAAATGTTCTAGGAAAGATTTAATAACTTTTTCTTTCTTGTATAAGGTGAGCTCTTTCACTAAGCCTGATCTTTGTGTGACTTTTAATTAGAACATTAGACCTATCAAATTTAACATATGGTGAAACTGCTAGAGCTCACTCATTTCATTCAGGTCTCTCCTCAAATGCTGCTGCTTCTAAGCAATATTCCCTAACCACCCTTCTGATAAACTAACCACATTCTCTCTATTATTCTCTCATTTACTTAATCAGCTTTCTCATTTTTTCAATATATTTAATGGCGTTTTCTCAGTAGTCGACTTTTGATTGTGTTCAGTGTTCTGTCCTTGGCACCTATAACAATTTCTGGCACCATGAAAGGGACTCCATAATGACTTGTTGAATGAGTAAATTGTTCACCATTTGTCTCCCCACTAGGATGTAGGACTCATGACTGTGCCTGGCACGAGGTGGGCATTCCAACATTTGTTTGAAAGAATAAAAGGAATGTTTACAAGTAGTGATCAAATTCATTTTTTATATTTATATATACATGTGTGATCATTTAAGTTTTATATGTTTAAATTGCACATAGATATCTAGAAATAGATTCTTAAAAAGGATGTGGCATTCAGGTACCATCCAGAACCTACAAAATCTGCTACTTTTTTGCTGATGTTGGATGGGCAGATTTACGTGTAGGGTCACAATTTTTTTCAGTGACTCAGTAACACCTGGTTGTTTTCATATAGTGCCCATAGACATCAGAGTGCTGTATGTGACAAACTCATGAAATGGATTAGTATCTGGATTGGTTTTTTATTTTATTTTTAAATTTTTTAGAGACAGAATATCTGTTTATCACCTAGGCTGGAGTGCTGTGGCATGATCATAGCTCACTGTAACTCCTAGGCTCAAGTGATCTTCCCACTTCAGCCTCCCAAGTAGCTAGGACTATAGGCGCCACCTGTATGCCTGGTTGATTTTTAAATTTTTTGTAGAGACAAGGTCTCAATATGTTACCCAGGCTGGTCTTAAAGTCCTGCCTTGGCCTCCCATAGTGCTGAGATTACAGGTGTGAGTTATTGCACCTGGCCTGGATTTTTTTTCCTCTACTTGCTTCATTAGTATTGTAGTGTAAATGTCCATCAGTGTATGTGTTTTACATATTGATTTCAGGTCACAAAATGGGGAGTTAAAGCTTATTTATTTTTGGAGACAGGGTCTCGCTTTGTTGCCTAGGCAGTAGGCGCAATCTCAACTCACTGCAGCCTGTGCCTACTGGGCTCAAGTAATCCTCCCACCTCGACCTCTCGAGTAAAGCCTTATATTTTTATGAGAACGTTTTATAAACTCTTGTTCACACTTAATTTTGTTTTTCTTCCACTTCATCTTGTGTTCTTGTGGTTTCCTTTGGGAACACTGTGGCATACTTTGTTGAGTTCTTTTTATCATTCCCTAACTTACTAATTGTTCCTATATGGTGAACCTTTATGAAGCAACATGATACTGCTTCTGGTGTTCAGGGCCTTTGGGAAGAGGTGATGAAAATGTAGCTCAGAAATATGAGAAGTGGATAAGGCATTAATTTGGGGCATCCTGAAGAGCTGAGTGTCTTCCTGTCTTTGCTGGATTGATTATGTGCATTAGGTGGTCTGTGCTTTTGGAAAATAAAGATTCTTTTTTGAACTACATGAAGAGTGTCCAATACAATTAACTTCTGAATATGCGGCTTCTTCCTTAGAAAAGAAAAATTTGCTCTTTTTTTTTTCTCCCAGTGATTTAGCAGAATTTTTCTATTTTCTTCAGGTAGTTAAACCAGAGAGCAATGATAAAGAAACAGAAGGTACCTGTGAATCAGATCTCCCTGAGGAGCTCTGTGGACACCATCTCCCACAGCAGTCCCTGAAAAGCTGTAATGACAGTCCTGATGTCATTATAGAGGCGCAGTTTGATGGCAGCGACTCAGAAGATGGACATGGCATCACACAAAATGTGCTGGTTGATGGTGTTAAGAAACTCTCAGTTTGTGTTTCTGAAAAAGGTGAGTACTAGACTATCATCTGACTTTTTTTTTTTTTAAGTACGCTGATTAAATATTGGAATTCTCTCCCTGCTACAGAGTAAATAACACAATGCAGTTGATATAGTCCTAATTTTTGACCTGTGGCAGCTTTTAGACAAGGGGATCTTTGACAGGTTTAGCTGCTGGTTGTGAAAGAGGGGATGAAAGTGCTACCAGCGGTTTGTGTGGGCAGTAGTTGCAGTTGTCACATTCCTAATAGGCTTGAGCTGTGTTGCTGGTTAACCTTGATATCTCTTGTGATAGACCCAATCCTCTGGCTGATGTGAATGGAATTAAACTGGTATGTAACATTCTTATGAAAAAGCACTTTATTTTACTCTGTTTTACTTTAAATATCTTTTAAAAGTATTTTTGTCATTTCTGGTGGCATGGATCACCCAAAATTTTATAAACAGATAGCCTCAGAAAGTATTTTGATTCTAAGCCTTTTAAAAAGCCAGCCTTGTTTTCTCTAATTGAAATCTAAGCCATGGGTCCTCTGGATGCAGGAAAAAAGCAATTGTAAACACATGAGAGCTGTGACCATGGACCCTACCTGACCACATTCTAGGAGACTTAAGGGAAAGTATTAAGTATAATTTGAATATTTCAACATGAGATCTCAAAGAGATTCTATATAGAAGGAGTATATTTTCTAGCCAAATTGAATTTTATGTATACTGTTAATGGAAACCAACCAACTCTGACCTGGCCAGACTGACTAGATAATGAGCTTTGTTATCAAGAAGTTGTTTCTGGCACAGTTCCCACAAAAGGCTAGGAGAAATGCCAGAAGATTACTAAAGGAAGATGTTCAGCAGACAACTTGTTTAGGGACTGGTGAGCATATGTCCCTACAGTGTAAACAAAGCAGAACGCATTTTCAGGAAATGACTGCAGAAGGATGACTCTGTTTTTCTCCATTGCTGATGAAGTAGTGATCTGGAAAAGAAAGCATTTTTTGACAGAATGTGTCCTTTTTGGTGTTAATACTCCTCATTCAGAATGACTTTCCAACTTTGAAATTCTTCTTGACTGAAGAAGCTACTATTTCCTCTGTCAAGTACTGCTTTGGGCCCTGCCGGGTATCACTGACTTCAGAGTACCCAAGTTCCTTTTGTTTCGGGACATGCTTAGATAACTAGTGGTTTCACTGTTCAGAGCTCAGCCAGTTTGTTTTGGATGCTATTCCTTGACATTTCATTCTTGCGATTTTTCTACTTTCTTTTGTTTAAAAATAGTTGAATACTGCGACCGTCTTCTTAAAGTAAATGTGTATTATCATAATCACATCAGTACTATGAGTCATGTATTTTCAGTGAGAAGAGTGGCAAATAATCAGTACTCTAAGTAGCCAAATCCTTCATTAACAAGATCAGCAAGGAAGAGAGATATTTAGAGAATAAAGACAGGCAAAGGAACACTTTAAAGCATATTGAGTATTTGGCTTAAAACTACTTTGTGGAAACCCAGCTGTGGTGATAGGCTTGGCCGATCTCAGCAGCCTCTTTTCCTCTGGGCTCCAAGTGAAGGGATAAGACACATTGATCTCTCATTAGTGGTTGGTACAAATACAAGGACAAGGAAATACTGATGGATGGAATTAACAGCAGAATTGATGCCTGGGTTGGATGCTAACAGTTCACTTTGTTAGCATCCAACCCAGAGTTTTGGGAAACTCTGATGCTATACCTCCTCTTGATTCACCTCTATTGTAATTCTCCCTCTACATCCCTTTTGAGACAGGGTCTCACTTTTTCACCCAGGCTGGAGTGTAGTGGTGTGATCATAGCTCACTGCAGCCTTGACCTCCTGGGCTCAGTCAGTCTTCCTGCCTCAGCCTCCTGAGTAGCTGGGACTACAGGTGTGCACCATTACACCCAGATAATTGGTTGTTGTTACTGTTTTTTTTAATAGAGACAGGGTCTCTATTAAAAAATAGAAACCAGGGCTAGTCTTGAACTCCTGGCCTCAAGTGATGCTCCTGCTTTGGCCTCCCAAAACACTGGGATTACAGGTGTGAGCCATCATGCCTAGCCCTTCCCTCTTTCTTAGAAATAAATATCATTGAGTATATTATAAGCCCACCGTATGCATGTTTCTTTCCTTATTCTTTTTGCATCCTTCCTAGCCCACTGTTATTTATATTACTTCGTTAGTAGCCCTGACTGAGGGAACAGCCTTAATCCTTCCCTCAGTATCTGGTACAGATTTCTGTTTCCTGCTAGCCTCTAAATAGAGAGTTTGTGAAACCACATGGCTGTTTCTCATTTCTTGCCCTCTTGATATTTAGGAAAATTACAATTTGCTCTTTTAGAAATCACAGCATTTTTAAGGATATTTCAACCAGCTTCTCTTACTTGGGATAATAAAAAAATCTGGTTACTGTTAGGATGTTAGTACTTTTTGCACTATTTAGGGTTTTGAAATTTGTTATTGAAACAAACCATAACCTTAAAAATATCATGAACTTTTCCTAAGACTTCTAGAAAGGCTCTTTGCTTTGTGTTGTACTTGCAAGTGGATGATTAATCCTAGTTCATGCTTGTGTTCAAAAGTGTTTTTTGTTTGTTTTTGCTTTAGTATTGCATGTGTATTTACAGCATATACCTATTTGCTGAGGAAATAGTTATGTCTTTGTGATAACTACCAGTTTCTCTGGTAAGAGAGCAATTGCTTCCATTGTCTGTAGCAAGTGCCTATCATTGCATTAAGAGAAACATCTCTGGGCATCTTAGACACTCATATGGTAGTTTTTTTGAGGATGATGGCACAGGTCTGTATTATCCTCAGCCCCTGAGAGAGAGTGAGCCAAAGATGTGGGCCCCTTTTAGAGGTCCAGTCCCCACAGCCCCTTGAGATTGAGCTTTTACCACTTTACAAGCAGTAGCTTTGTTGTTAGCATAGAAACTTTGCATTTGTGTGGAGGTTAGGGACAACCAATTAAAATTTTCTTGGTATCAAATGCATAAATGGCTTTAAAATGTTTGGCTGGGTACACCTGTAATTCTAGCTACTCAGGGAACTCACTTGAGCCTAGAAGATTGAGACTGGCTGGGGCAACATAGTGAGACCCAGTCTCAAAAAAAAAAAAAAAAAAATGTTTGGATAACAGTTGGCATGGTTAGCAAACTCCAAAGGGTAGAAATAATCATGGTTAAATGATACTGTAGTTCTGTTTCATCACCAGGAATTTTAAGAACAGTTTTGGCCTCCGAATCTTGGTGATGGTGACCTAATCAGGCTGTGATGTACATTTCCTGCTTCGTATCCCAGGAGGGTCTTCCAGAGATGTTTTTTAGTTTTCTGGTCTAGAGACAAGCCTCTGCCTGTACCCTGATGAGTGAGCATGGGTTTAAAGTGTAGATGTAATGACTCTTTTACTTCTGTCTTCTGGTCAACTTCAGCTGTTTCTGAAGAGGAAAATCTACATGGAGTCCTTAATTCCCTCTGAGAGTTGTCTGTCTGTTACATCTGGGGCCTGCTCAAGTCACCTTTGGGAGCCATGAAGACTCAATTTTTCCCACTTAAGATTGATCTCCTTCCAAGACAAGCCCTTTCAGTGCTGAGGTTTAAATACTCTTTCCTTGAATAAAAAGTAACTGTACTCCCCTTCTGCTGAGAAAATCAGACGCATATGATTATTCCTATGACACTTGGGGTTACTGAAACTCCAGGAACCCTTTCTCAGGTTTGGCAACCCTTCTTTTTTCTCAGCATGCATTTCTTCTTTTCCCTATATATATATAGCTCTTCACTGTGTATAATGATGATTAATATAACTAGAAGACCATGTTTGCTTCAGAAATTATATTTAAAATTAAATATATAGCAATTTCTCATCAACCACAGTTTTGGCACAGTGTTTTGTGCCAAGCCTTAAAAATCTGATTTAAAAAAACAAAGTGAAGCCTTGTCCAGACCTGTGTTAAACAGAAAGATAACAGTGGGAATTTTTTTTTAAAATTTTTAAATCTTTAATTGTGGGTACATAGTAGGTATATATATTTATGGGGTACATGAGATGTTTTGATAAGATCATGCAATGTATAATAATCTCATCAGGGTAAATGGGTTATCCCTCACCTCAAGCATTTATCCTTTGTGGTTCATACAATCTGATTGTGCTCTTTTAGTTATTTTTAAATGTACAATTAAATTTTTAAAATTACTATAGTCACACTGTTGTGCTAGGAATTAGTATGTCTTATTCATTCTTTATAACTACTTTTTTTGCCATTAACCATTAACCATTGCCACTTCTCCCTACTTACTACCCTTCCCACCCTCTGATAGTCATCCTTCTACTATCTATCTCCATAGTTCAATTGTTTCAGTTTCTTTTTTTAAAATTTATTTATTGTACTTTAGATTCTGGGGTACATGTGCAGATCATGCAAGATTGTTGCACAGGTACATTCATGGTTTGTTGCCACCATCCCCCCATCACCTATACCTGACATTTCTCCCCATGTTATCCCTCCCCCACCCTCCCTCCTGCCATCCCTCCCACAGCTATTGAGATCCCAGTTTGTGATGCTCCCCTCTTTTTGTCCAAGTGTTCTCATTGTTCAACACCTGCCTATGAATGAGAACATGCAGTGTTTGATTTTCTGTTCTCATGTCAGTTTGCTGAGAATGATGGTTTCCAGGTTCATCCACGTCCCTACAAAGGGCACAGACTCATCACTCTGCATAGTATTCCATGGTGTATGTGTACCACATTTTCTTTGTCCAGTCTATCACTGATGGGCATTTGGTTTGGTTCCAGGTCAGTGCCACGATGAACATACGTGTGCATGTGTCTTTACAATAGAACAATTTATAGTCCTTTGGGTATACACCCAGTAATGGGATTGCTGGGTCAAATGGAATTTCTATTTCTAGATCCTTGAGGAATCGCCACACTGTCTTCCACAATGGTTGAACTAATTTACACTCCCACTAACAGTGTAAACGTGATCCCACTTCTCCACATC